GCTGATCAAGGCACTGAGTGGCTCCAAGCCTTTTTCTGAAGGCAAAGGTGGGAATTGTGTTCCAAGATCTGAAACCAGCAATTTAAATGGCACTGAGGTACATCTGAATGAGAGTCACCACAGGATGTCTGAGTATGTGGCTGAGGGAAAATGTTACACTTTGTTCTGCAGTTTCCATGTTATGGGTCTTGTGAGGGCAGTGTCTGATTGGTTGAAAGGACCAATTAGGGAGGCTCAGGGCTGGAAAGCAGTCCTTTCAAAATCTTGTAAACTAAAAATTATACTTCTTTTATGCAAGTAAGAACAACATATAATTTGCTTTTATGATGATAAAAATGAAGGATAAGAAATTTGATGTGCTGTGCCCTTTGGTATGTTGTGCTATGTGAAACAAGCTGGGTACAGACCTGGTGCTTGGGAGCTGCAGATACATTTTGCCAGCAGATTGTCATGTTTTACTAAATGTTTTTGTGTATGGTGTGTTTTACGTTCCTGATAATTTTTTTTGTACTACCAAATTTTCACAGGAAACAGCTCAATTTTTTTATGCATTACCAGTTTTGGTTAACTTTCATGTTGAAATTATCTTGACTTTTCAGTATCAAGTTGGGCAGCTGTATTCTGTGGCAGAAGCTAGCAAAAATGAAACAGGAGGTGGCGAAGGAATTCAAGTCTTAAAAAATGAGCCTTATGAAAAGGATGGTGAGAAGGGACAATACACCCACAAAATCTATCATTTAAAGAGGTGAGGAAAACATTGACACATGTAGTGGTCACTTGGTGTTGAGAGAGGAATGGTCAAAGTGAGGGCAGCTCTCCACTGTTCACTATTCTGGGGTGGTTACTGGGGGTTTCTGCCTCTTTAATTTCCTGGATTGTGCAGGAACGTGCTGGTGAGTGGGAAAACACATGAGATGCACTGGATTGGAAATATGTGGGAGAGAGTAAGGGAGAGCCCCACAAAATGTCTGATCTGTGGATAGTCCCTTTCTTACTAGAATGGAATAAATCAGTGAGGAATTTCAGCAGGCAAAAATTTATCAGGTGTTGTCCCTGTTTGTTTCTGACAGTAAAGTCCCTGGGTTTGTGAGGATGTTTGCTCCAGAAGGCTCCCTGGTGTTCCATGAGAAGGCCTGGAATGCGTATCCCTACTGTAGAACAAGTAGGTCTCCTGCTCTGCATTTTGCTGCCAGTGTTCACCCCAGGGATGGTCTTAAGTGGTTTGGGAGAAAAGCGGGTGCCATCAAGTGGGAAATATACTTAAGATTTTCATGTTGCATTTGTGAGATCTCCTCTGAAAAGAAGAGTTGCTCCTGGGGAGCAACTTCACTGGTTCCTGCAGAGTCTTGGTGTCCAGTGTCCCTGGGAGAAAACTGAAAACGTGATCCACTTGAGGTCTAGAACAGAACCTGTTTGAAAAATAATTGAATTCTTCATAGCCTGTTAGAATAAGGTGACTGCTTTATTCTACTGCTTTTAGCTGTGTGAGGTCTAAGGGTGGGCTCTCTTTCTTTTGTGTTTCTGTTACATAGTTTGAAGTGTCTTATAATGAACTTGGGAGGTTACAGACTAGAGGCACACAAATCCTGTTGGCCTGAGTGTTTCTTACAATGTGTTACAGTCATTGTAGGTGGGACTTCTCTGAAACTAATAACACTTTCTGTTTCCTTTTCATTTGCATGGTGTGTGTTTCCAACGGCCAGTTGTGACGGTGAGTATTTGAATTACTATCAGTTCTTGTTTCTAAAATGTGTTTTATCTGCTGTTACTGATACAATTAACTCTGACTGTTGCAAGCTGGCTCCAGCCTTTAATATGTGCCTTGCCAGGGATCCGGGCATAGAACTCCCTGTTACTTTGTCTGCACTTGACTATAATTAGAAAGAGCTGTAATTTGTCAGAAAAATGCTTTCAAATTTTTTGTATCTTTTATGCCTTTACTTGTCACTACAGCTGCATAATGTCTGTCCTGGTAAAACATAGTGCTAAAAAAGAAAAAAAAAAAAAAAAGAACCAAAAGAAAACCAGAGGTTTCTAAACTCTTGAATGCAAGAGTTTCGTGAAATGAAATCAGTCCCTAACTGTGTGAAATCCCATTTCTGTAGAGTGAAATCCTGCCTCAGTCAGATGGGTTAATTGAGAATCTAAGTGGATCATTGCAGCTGGGGGCTCTGACTTTTGTTTAGGATGTGTGGGAAAGAGAGGATTGTTATGACTTTATTAGCCTGTGTGTGGTTTTTGGTGACCCGTGTAAGGTAGGTTAAAAGTTTAATGTTAAATTGCTTTATCTGATCACTTGCAAACTTAATTTAGATTATCACTAGGTGGATGCAGCATAAGGAATAACAATTGAGTTTGTGAGCTGCTCAGCTTGACCCGTGGCCACACGTGTGCCCTGGTGTGACTTCCTGGCTTCTGAAATTACAAGTGTCTGTGCTGGTCTCGACACAGTTTAGTGGCAGCTGGGCCTGTATGGCCCTAATTGTGCTATACAGGGGCATCTCATGTTTATTGGCCATTATCTCTGCCTCTCAGAATAATTTTTACAAAATAATTAATTAATACAAAATTTATTGCAGATGTATTTTTGTTGTTTTGTCTTCAGTATTAATAATTTGAAAACTACTTGAACATGGAGGTAGCACATTTAAGGGTTGAGGAAGAGGGATGATAATTGTAGTATCATTTCTCTCTGCACAAAGAGTTGGATTTCTCAAACATGCCTGGTTTTAATTCAGTACTTACTGCTGTAGCTGATACCTGAGATCTAGATACCAGTTATTTCATGGTACCTGTTTCTCTGTAGCTGAGGGGTCGCTTTCCTTCATGATGTTAATAGAAGGTGTTGCTAGTCAGGGCTTAGTAGTGACTCACATGCAAGTACCTTTTGTCTGAATTTGAGCAGAGCAGTATAATCGGACTCATGCTTTTTTATTTTAATTCTTACAGAATGAATACATGAAAGATGACTTCTTCATAAAAATTGAGACCTGGCATAAACCAGATTTGGGGACAGCAGAGAACGTGAGTTGGGATTTGCATACCAAGCATTAGCAATGTTTGCAACACAGTCACCTGGGTACACTATTCTATACCTGGTAAGAGTGGATAATCACTGCATCAAGTCAAAATCCTGCCAGTGATGAATGGAAAAGAGGAAAAGCATTATTCAAATCCTTCTGGGGTGGTCAAGCTGTCTCACTTAATGAGATGCAAGAACTGGAGAAGATTTTTATCTTTTATGTTGAGGTCAGTGCAGATGCTTGGTTAGGTTAAATTAAACAGGTTTTCAGTAAATTATTTTTTATTTAATATTATTTTACTTTAGACATGCTAGGGCTACTCAGGCTGACATGTTTGTGTGAAAACAGGTTTCACAGGGCTGTTGGAGTTGATCTATGTACAATTCTGTGGAGTTACATATTGAAGCTGCTCATGTACATTTTCCAGGCTGGTGATACTCTTGTTTTTCTCCCTAGACAGCTGGTTCAGTTCACAGGTCTCTTCAGGAGACTTTTCTGTTTACAGTGACAAACATATTTATAAACCATCCATGAGGGGAGAGTTGTCAGAGTATTTTCAGCACACTGGGTGTGCTGCAGAGGAGGAGAGTAATTCTTGGGCAGCTCTGCTTGCTGTAAATTTAGGTGTGCCTCAGACTGCTGGTGGGAACCTGAATACACCCTCAGACCTTCCTATACCTCCAGACTTCATCTGGCCCATATTAAAGGCAGCCCAATGGTTTAGAGAATCCAGTGGATTCAGTCAGGTTACTGAAACCTCGCAGATTTGCACTTTGCAATTTGTGTGGCTACTTTCTAGATGGAAAAGCTCATGCATGTTACTGAATGGGTAGTGTTTGAACTGAAGGGTTTGTGCCTGTTTAGCATTGGTTAGTCAGTGATATAAACTGTAACTGTGAAGATGATTCTCTTTCAGAAAGGGAGAGGAAGAGAGGATAGGTTTTGATAACTTTGTCTTTGCGAAGCCCAGAGAACATCTACATCATGCATGCATAGTGCATGGGGCACCACGGGCTGAGATGGCACATGGAAATGATTCCTTTTCCTTTTTTTGCAGGTGCACAATTTAGACCCAAACACGTGGAAGAGTGTTGAAGTTGTCCATATTGACATTGCAGATAGAACCCAAGTAGAACCAGGAGTAAGTAGAAGCTCTGCTGTTCGGGTGGGATGTGCAGCTGAGTCCATTGCTGCTTTGGGTTGGTTGCAAATGAACTGAAACCATGTGGGTTTTCACCCACCAGATAATGGAATTGGTCTTAGAGTCATTCTGAAGTTCCACATTCAGTTAATGCCTTTACAACTTCAGCCTACTGAATGTGACTTACAGTTGCACAATTAAGACCTGAAGGGCGATAGGCTTCTGGCACAGGAGTAATTTTTACTTTTAATGTATTTGATCAAGCCAGCACTTGTGAGCTCATCTTGGTGTGTGGAACCAAGTGCAAGAAACTATCCCAGCTGTCTTGCCTGGCGGGGCACAGGGTCTCCATCAAGCTACTCCTGTGCTGCTGCTCCTTATTGGTTACAAGTTATTTTAATTCTGTCCTTCCACAATCAAAGAGGATCATTAAGTTTTGGCTTTGAAATCCACTCTTGTTTTTTTATTTTTAAACTTTTTTCACTCGAGTAGTTCTCAAGACGTGAACTGCTCATCTCTTCTGAAAGATATGGGATTACTTTTTCAGTTTCATCTTCAGTGGTTGCTTTGCCAAATATACATGTCCTGGGCACACACAGAAGTCCATCCATAGGAGTTTGGTCTTTTGTCCAAGAACTTGAAGCTTAATGTCTTGAGATTAGAAGCAAACATTTAGAAGGACAGATTTTATTAGTAAGACCACATGGTTATTCAGTGTATTTGTACACAGAGTGTGGGTGTTTATTTGGAAGGAGTGTCTTTACCAAGTTCGTGGGCAGGTGAATGTAGCAAAGATCAGAGCTGTCTCTGCACACCTGCAGTTTGCCTTTTCAGTAGCACTTTGTACAGAAAAGAGAGTGGCTCCCTCAGTGTGACATGGAGAAAAAATACTTGCCTTTTGCCTGACTGATAATTTAATTAATTGGGAGGGATGTTTCTTACTTATATTTTCTAAACAATTTGTCTTAGAGATTTTGATAATACTTTCTTTTTCTTCCCCCACCTTCTTCCATCTTCATGTGGAAGCCATTTCACATGTGGAAATCCTCACAACTATTTTCAGCACATTATCCTCTTTTTTCCTTTGGTGTATTTGACTTAGAGTATCAAAACTCTGAGAGTAGCATGGTTTAATCTTGAATCTTAAGTCTCTTCTTATGTTTCTACATTCTCTTTCTTTTTTAGTAACTTCTAACACCATTTACTTTTTTAGCAAATATTTTGAGCAAATCTTTCCAAATTCAGCCTCACAATGTAACTCATCGTTGTGTGGGAATAATTGAGACTAATTTTCACTGTGACTCAAATTTTCATTTCTATTTCAACTCATAGAAAGTCAGTTTTGCAAAGTCCTGACTTTATTAAACAACGACTGACTTAGTAGTCAGACTTTTCTGCAGATGTTGATAGTCTGAGTTGCCTGCAGGCTGACACCCTTCCCACTCCACTTGTTTGCCCCCTGGAAGTATTAGCTGTTATCCTTGTGTTCTCTTTGTCCAGAGGTGCATTTCTGACAGTTTATTCATCTTTGTTCAGTGATGTTAGATCAGTCACCAGTTCCCTCTGTCGGGTGGTTTCTGTAATCATGGGCATTGTGTGGCCTTTTTTCCCCCTAATATTGCAATTCTTGTTGTTTGAGATTTCTCCCTCCAGGTGGCTGGGGGCGGGGTTTGGTATTCTGGTTTTCTTACTGAGAAGGAGTAGTCAGTGTTGCTGAAGGAAAGTTTTATTTGTATGTTCATTTTCTCAGTCATAGTTTTGCCTTGAAAAGCAACCCAAGTATCTCTGGGATAGCAGGATGACTGAAAGGCTGGAACTACATTTGTAAGAGCCAGCAATTTTGGTAAAAGTTTTCATGTATTCAGTGAATGAACCTTGTCCAACCCATTGTAGTGTTGCAGTTACTTTAGTTTCAGAACTACAATCAGCAAAAATACAGAAATAGTAAATTTCTTTCAGATACTAATGGTATGCATATGCTAACTCATGCTTATTTGAGTATGTATAGAAATAATGTGGCCAACATCTGTTGCTTGCTTTATATCTAAATTTAACCCTGCCCTCTCTTAATCATCTCCAGTGTATAGGCTCTTGCATTATGTGATTTGTATATAAAAATCACTTCCCAGGAGGGTAAAACTTTTTAAAGAGTAAGCAGAAGTGAATGCTCAATTAACATCAGAAGAGGCTACATTTTTGAAAAAAAAAATATAAGTAAGTGTGTAGTACAAACAAAGAAATTGAAGTCAGGTTTGTAGCGTTTTTGTGCAGTGTAGAAATTCAGTGTCTTGCTGTAGGTTGTGGTGCAGCTTCATTGTATTTCTTGAAATGAAGCTCTAAAAATACAGTTTTATACAGAACAGTCAAATTACTGAAAGCATGGATTGAGTACTAGAGATATAAAATGGAATATAGGAAATGCTCTTCTTTTTTAGTTTGCAAGAGAATGTTGGAGGGTTGTTGAGTGAAAGAGCTGTTCTTTCTCATAGGCTGGTCTCTCCCATTTCAGACTTTATTTCTCACATGGTAAGCATCTAAAAAGTCCCTGTTATTAGTGTCATCATGTGTTTTATTGGTGACAGTCATGGAATGTTTCATCTAGGTCGTAAAGTTGACTCTGTGTTAGCAAAAGGACCAGATGATACCTCTTATTTAATTTTAAAAAATCAAGACCATTCCTTCTTGACAAAGCAGGAGAGCCCTGCTGTCTTACCTGGCATTTGTTGGACATCAGCTCTGCAGGGCTGGCTTGTTTTGGTGTCCAGGTGCCCAAAACATGCCAGTGTTTATCTGGCACGTCAGATTAAGTTGCAGTAGTGCTGGTGATTGATGCAGCTGTGAGACTTGGGAAGCATGCAGTGAGCTGGGAATATGACATGCTTTGATCAACCTGATATTGGTCCTTTACTGTGAACAGAGCTATGGATCCCACCAGAGAAAAGTTCTGGCATGTGTTTCCTTCCACAGTCAACTCTGTTTGTTTCCACTAAATAACACTGAAAGTTATCTGTGTTCTCCTGTGGAAAAACTAATGCAATGTTGAGCTGGGAAGCTGGGAACTGTGTCCACCTGCCTTTCCATGCCACTCTGTTCAGGAAGCTTGCAGATAAGACATCAGACTTGCACCATGTTTGTGGTAGGTTCTAAAAGTTCTCTTAAAATCGTTCTGTCTTGTTTACATACTCTCAAGTTCCATAGTACCTGATAGAGGGAGCTATGAGCTCTGAGAAGTGCTGTTACTCATTTTAGCAGGTCTTCTAAAGGAGAATAAGAATTGTAAAGAAGCACCCGGATTCTGGGTTTGTTGTGATTATTGCTTGATTGTATGTGGTTCACAGTCTCACTGTGTAATTCTTTATAATAGTTTGTTCCATTTGTATGTATTATCTGGAGGTTTTGAGCAGAGACTGCGTATGAAACAATATTTGTGTATTTATTGGAAAGGGTTTTTAGCTCTTCCATACTGTTATGCCACTGCATAATGATGTTTTGCCTGTAGCTCTCAAGAGGACTTCAGAGTTTTTTAGCTGTATGTTTTTGTTCCAACAGCTGCCTGTTTTTCTTCCTAAGAAGGACTTGTTGCTGTCAGGAGTTAAGCTCTTGCTGCAGAGAGATTTTTCTTAAACTCAGCAAAGAACTGTTGTTTATTTGTACTTTGGCTCTAGTCCAATCTTCTTCCTTGCATGCTGGTAGGGTTTGTGTATTGAGAAGCGTTCCTGCAATGCTTTCTTGTCCATCTAGACTTTAATCTAGACAGGTTTTTCTTTTTCTTCCTTCACAGTTCTCCATGGTTGTGGGTGTGATGGTGTTCTTAGGTGGGTGTTCATGGTGAACCTCACATGATCAATTATTGTGGTCAGGGTTTTTAATCCTGCCCTGATTTCCAAAGTAGCATCTTTCTCAAATAATCATTTTCCTACCCCTCATCAGTAAAATTAAGTAAATCCATACACTTGGAGGAGTTTGTTGTCTGTGAGCTCTGTTGACAGCAGCTTTCCCCGAGGTGCTCTGTGGTGGGCAGGGCCTGCTGCCCTCCCCGCTCTGCCTGTGGCCCAGGGATGTACAGGAGCTGGTTTTGCAGCTCAGCTCACTTGTGCCACCTTCTCCTTCTGTTCTTCTTTCTCAAGAGTGGACACACATTGCAGCTTGGGAAATGCTGGCAGCCCAATGTCTGTATGACTGCTTTCTCTTCCCCTCACAAGCTTCCCAAACCTGCAGCGCTTGGGGTGGGTCTGAGCTGGAGGCAGGTGGTGGGACCTGTGCTGTGCCCAGTGCTGAGCTCCACGGGGCAGGCAGGGCAGAGGGCTCAAGGGTGTTCCACACACTCTGATGTGTGCTACACCCCTCCTGCCCCAGACCACTCGGGAGAATCAGTTGGGTAGTCTTGAACAGAAGATTAATGCTCACTTAATAAAAAGTGAGATATTGAACCTCTTTGTTTTTTTCCAACTCTCAGGGGCTTTTTTTTCTGTTGCATCCTAGGACTACAAAGCTGATGAAGACCCTGCATTATTTCAGTCCGTTAAGACGAAGAGAGGACCTTTGGGGCCAAATTGGAAGGTGATAAGAACTGATAGTACAACCTTTTGAAGTCTCCATCAGCAGAAAACAAAACCCTAACAGGGCAAGCTCTTGGTCCCTATTATCCTAAAGTGTGGCTGTGCAGGCACAGAGTAGGCAGAAGATGCACCACCTTTCTGCTGCCAGGAGCTTGATGTGCTTTAAGTGTGAAATAACCAGGTTTTATATTTTTACACAGGTTTCTCCCATTGGCTGCTGTCAAAATACTAGAGCCAGGCAGAGCTTTGGTCCAGCTGGCGGGTTTGTCCTGGGCCTGAGCATTAGCTGAATATCATGGAAAAATGAATAAATTGTGTGTTTCAAGCTGATAGTGAGAGGAGGCAGTGAGGGGACTCCTATTTCTGTAACTCACTTTCTCCCTAGGCAAAGCATTCTTGCTAGCAGGGTAAAATTGTAACAGGGATTATTTTTGTAAACTGTGCTGAAGATGTGCATCCTGCCCTAGATATTTGTTCTCCTTCCTCCTCAGGAAGGAAGCAGGAGGCTGAGGCAGTGATGGCCTATTTGGGCCCCTGTAACCTAAGGAAAGTGGAGATACTGGGGTTTTTTTCAACAACTGTAAAATGAGAATTTTGAATGCCTGGAACTGGCAGAACTGAATTTCTATGTTCTATTTAGTTCTGTCCTTCTACTAGTGCCTGGCCACAGGCTTGTGCTATTTGGGAATTCCAAACACCAGCACTTTGTTTTTTGCTTGTGAGTGGGACGTCAGTGTTCTGAAGATAATCGGTTTTCATTTAAGTTCTCTCTGGTGATGAGTATTTGTAATTAAAATTCTGTATTAAAAAAATACATATTATTCACCAGGATTCTTGTATGTTAGATTTTTCAGTGAACCATGTTACTCTGTGCATGGCCAACAGGAGTTACCCATTTTATGGTTAAAAGAAACCCAGTTTAAAATGCCACAAAGTATTTTCACTTAGAAGTTTGTTGCAGATATAAATAATAAAATTCTGTGAACTTCTTGTAGTCATTGCTTGTTATTCAAGCCAAACTGACAGGTTTTAGGGATTTTTTAAGCAACTATCAGCTTTCTTGTTGGACATGAGTTTTTTCCTCTTTTTTAATTCCTCTTTTATGAGGCTTTGAGTAACCAAACATAGTTTCTTAAACTAAAAACGTGACATGGTATCTTGTATTGTATAAATTTGACTGCATGAATTGTAGGAAAGTGACTGTGTAGGATGATACAGGTACCTCAGAATTGTTTGGATGTAGGAACTTAAAACAGAACCCTAAGAATTACAGAAAATGTTGGTGGGTGTCTCCTGAATTTCCCTCAGTTCTGGGGTCCTTCTTTTGCACAAATCCTTGAGCCGGAACTGTCTCCAAGCGGTCTTTGCGGTGGAGCTCTCGTTGGTCCTTGGCAACTTATTGGTGTTGATGATAAAGAAGTTCTCTCCCTGGTTATGTCATAGTAGCAGTCAGGTCTGAAATTCATTATGCTTAACTGAATATGTAAAACATGTTCCAGAACTGGAAGTATCCTCTACACTGGGGTGAGGGAAGTGAGGGAGCAGGGAGATCGTGGGGTGTCCAAGTAGGCAGAGCAGACCTGTGGTCAGCTCAGGTTTCATGTGGTGGGAGAAGCAAACCTGAGAAGTGGTTGTGTGCTCTGTGCTCTCTGAGCATCCACCTTGAACTGAGCATCTTGGTACAACTCGGGTTATAATTGTCTTTGTGCAATGAACCTAAAAGTAAAAAATAATTTGGGTGCAAGCTGTTGGAGTCAAGCTTTATTGTCCTTTCAGAGCATCAGGAAGTATATTACAGTGGAAATCATTAAATGAAATCCATGTTAATACTCAGATTCATAGTATATTTTTGCAGCATGGAATAGAATTGTGTTGCAGATTTGACCTGGTGATTTGTTAATCCCTATTACCCTTTGTCCAGATCCCAGTGCTAAATATTTACTAATACTTAGGATTCCAAGTAGTATTGTAATTCTAAAAATGCTTAGCATTCTAATTCATAATTGTGCTAAAATAATTAATTTCATTTACTAGAAATTAATAATATAATTTCTAATACTAATATAATACTTGGACTTCTATTTTTTAGTAGTTATATTAAACTAATTTGAGTGAAGTAAATTTTTTAGATGATAAAAATTTCCTTCCTATTATCTATAAACAGAAGGAGCTAGCAACTGATGAAGAGTGTCCTAAAATGTGTGCTTACAAGTTGGTGACTATCAAATTTAAATGGTGGGGACTGCAGAACAAAGTTGAAAACTTTATACAAAAGGTGAGTGCTTCTCCCTTGCTGGGATGTTGCTGGGGGGCTGGACTGGTGGTGGACAAGTGGGTGGGTCTCTGTTGACACGGGTTTTCTGAGGAGGGTGAAGTTTCCTGCTGCTTGTAGTCATTCAAATTGAACAGCTGCAGTCACCTCTCAGCCTTTGGCAAAATGTAGGTCTGTTAGCTAATGTTTGGTTATCTTCTTAAAGCAAGAAAAAAGGATATTTACCAACTTCCATCGCCAGTTGTTCTGTTGGATTGACAAGTGGATTGATCTGACTATGGAAGACATCAGGAGAATGGAGGACGAAACCCAGAAGGAGCTGGAAGCGGTAAGGATGCTTTTCTAAGGGTGGTGTCCGCGTGCTCTCTCCTCCTGGATGTATCTGGGTGGGAACTGGCACAAGTTGTGTCGTGTCCGTCCCCTGGTGTGTGCTGAGCTCTTGCTGAGGAGCAGTGCAGCCCCTTCAGCCTCTCCTGTGCAGACCCACTCCAAGCTCCTGCAGGCTGTGCTGTATCAAGCTGGAAGGTGAGTGTTTCTGATATCCCTAAATCCAAAGCATCTGCCCTGACCAGCTCTTTATTCAAGGTACCCCACCCATTGCTCACAGTCCCATTCAGGGTCTTTTCACCACTTGGCAGTTAGAATTCAGAGCTGTCATCTTGCTTTGCCATCATGTGACCTGCTTTGGTTTGTTTCCATCATTAGATCTGGTTACTTTTTCTCTTCAAACATGTCTTTAAAGAGGCTTGAGTCAGCTGTCATGTGACAGCTGTTCCACTTTTCCCAATGAGCTCCAAAACTGAGAGCTTTACTTGCAAAAAAGAAGTCAGTAGAATTAATGAACTTGAGATAGTGTCAGTTGTCATGCTTTAGTGACTGTGAGGATCATATACACGCAGCCTAATCTGTCTTTGGACTGATGTCTAGAAGGAAAGTCATGCATAAGGCACTTCCTCTCTTTCCTTTAAGACCAGAGGTTCATCATAGGCTAGGGAGGAATCTCTCTTCTGTAGCATCTTTCCAGAGTGTGACCTTTGGCATGAACCTTTCTCAGTTTAAATCCTGCTGGTTTTTTAAGTTATTTGAGGTTCTTGGATTTGCAGTTCTGTTTCCTTCCTGTTTTGCCGGTCACTTGGTGCCCCAAACCCTTTCAGCTTGTCACATTCTTTCCATTGCCTTGGTTCTTTCATGACACGATGTGTCTTTAGCTAGAACTTGCTTTTTTGCTTGATTTAACTCATTTCAGCTGCCAGCATCTTTAAACAGATTGCCTGGTGCTTTAGGCCTGCTGTTCACACTGGTTCTGAAGTGCATTTGGTGGTTTGTGCCTGGCATATTTTTTCTTTCAGTATCAAACCCAGCTGTAGGTCCTCCACCCCTTGCTCTGCTCTCCATGTTTGGACTTCATGAGCTGTGTGGAGCCTTCTTGTGTTGTGTACAGGTTGTTTCTGGATTTGGAAGGAGTTTCTTCACTGTTCTGTGTGTTAATAGGTAGATGTTATGTATGAGTTAACCCAAACTTTCTAATAAGCTGAAGGGTTTGTCTGCTTGGGCAGGTCCCAGGATATGCTTTGGCAGAGAATGGTGTTCTCACCCTGGCAGGCACGTGTGCTCCCACTGGCGTTGGCGTGTTTTGGGTTAAAGCAGGTGTCCTCTCAAATCACATGGATTTCTGCTTTAATTTCTGCTTAATTTTATGCCAGAACCTATTCCTAGAACCACCTTTTCCTAGGTGTTAGTGAAGGAGGAGAGTAGCCACTTTCCTCTCTGTGATTTGTGTCAGAAGGGCATTCTTCTGCACACCCCTAGTTCTTTATTTGGAATGAAAGGGGTGTATCCATTTCCCTGAGGAAGTGGCAGTGCCTGAAGGTGAGTGCTGGGAGGGGCAGCACCCTGGACACATTCCCTTTTTGTCTCTGTGACTGGGTCTTTGTCCTCTTGTAGAGAAAGTTTTGTTTGACATTTCTCACTGGTAAGTAACTTTTAAATATTTTTTGCAAAATATTTGCTGCTTTTTAGTTCTTACCTTAAGCAAAACCCAGATCCCATGTTTCTGGGTGTAACATATATCCTTGTTCTTAAATATCACAATTATTCATTTACTATTTTCTTCTTTTTCAAAGCAATGCAAATAGTTCATAAAATGCCTCGTGCAAGGCACTGACATCAGGAGATTAAGTGTATTACTTGTTGAAAAAGTCAGTTTTTGCAAGAGAAGTGTGTTGATTAGGTACACTAACACATTTTTTCTGTGTGTATTGTGAAATGAGAGGAGTGGGGACCTAAATATTTTGGGTTTTCTCAACTGTTATAATAGAGGTATCTACAAACACCTATAAATGATGCAATTCCAAGAATTTTGTTGTGAAGTATATTATTGGAGAGCAAGCTAAAGAAAAAATGTAACTGCTAAATAAAATATGAACACTAATTTTATCCTAATTTATGTATTTTTATGTTTTATATTCAACTATTTCATCCACTGTGATAAGTGGTAACTTTCATTAAATCCCAAGTATACCACAAAACATTTGGTTTGCGGCCAGGACCACTGGGAAGGGAGCACTTAGTGATGAGATGCTTAATATGACAAGAGGATCTTCCTGTTTCCATCCCTGCAGAGAAGCAGTCAGATTTTTTGAGTGTTGCACTGGGCAGTTCTGTGGCACTTGAACCACCGCAGACACAAGCTTGATGCTGCTGGCAGCAGCACGTTACTTACAGTGCATTTCTCACTGTTCCTTTCATCATTAACACTTTCTTCTTCCTGCTTTGGGCTAATCTTTCTCTTTGGATTCATTGCACATTTTGGTTCATTTGTTGGTCCTGTTCTTCATCTTAAACCTGTTTTTATAGTCAGGGTCTCTGCTTCTGTTACTTTTTTGTTACTCTGAATCCTCATCAATGTTCTTCCAGAGCTTCTCTATCCCAGCCCATCTTTTTCTCACTGTTTCTCTCTCAGTTAATGGTTTCTGTGTCTGACTCCTGGTTCATCAAATACCCAGCAGCTCCTCAGTGCACAGTAGGAAGGCAAAGGCATCTGCCCCTGCCAGGGCACTGGGACTGCCCTCCCTGTGCCTGGGCTGGGCTGGAAATGCCACCTTACACAGATGCTGTGTCTCCAAAGCCTTTGGCTGTAGCTGAAGCTGGTTCTGGTCCTGGCCAGGAGAACAGTCCTGGTCACATAGGTGGTCACTTCTCTCGTACTAACCAACAGCACGGCAGGTTCTGTGTGTGGTAGCTCACATTTTATTTTGCGTTTAGATGCGTAAGAAGGGTTCCGTTCGAGGCACTTTGGCTGCTGACGTCTAGAGGAGTTCTCTGTAGGTTCTGAGGCAAATCAAGCTGTGTAAGTCACCTGCTGGATGGAGAGGGAGAAGAGTGATTAATATTCTGATGGATGGGAATTGCTGGCAGAAATAATCTGGACAGCAGATACCCAGATAACATTGCTGGGCCTTACCTGCCTCCTGTTTGATACCTGCTGGTGATCAACAGTTGGAGATGACCCTGTGTGCCCAGGGTACCTGAGAGGCCTCCTCCACAGCCGGGCGCTGGGTGGGCTGGGCAGGAGCTCGGTCTGGTGGCAGAACCGCCCGCGGTGTTGGCCACGTCACCTGGTGCTTGGTGCTCACCTGGTGCAGAAACCAGAGTGACCTGTCCCTGTCACCTGTCACCGCGAGGCCTGCAGGGACTCCTGAGTTTCCTCTTGCTGTGCACCCTGCACACTGTGCTGCGTGGGCCTGGTCCACACCATTCAGGGCAAATATGGACAGTCCTCTTCAAAGCATGGTGGCTTCTTGAAACCAGTTCCACGCAGTGACCTTTACACACTGGGTTGTGTTAAAGCTGCTGCTGCGGGAGGTGGGTTGTCCCAGTGTCAGGCTGTGTGTGTGTGTCCCTGATGGGGGTCCGGAGCAGGGGGTCCTGCTGGTGAGGCCCCTCGGGGGGAGCTGCTGCCCACCAGCCAGGTCACCCCCAGGCTGAGGTTTCCAGACCAGCCTGATATGTCTTTGGTGTGATTTGCTCAGCCCTGATGGTGGTTTGACTGCCCTGCCCAGGTTTTCTTGGAGCTTAATAGAGCTGCCTGTTTGGACCTTCCTGCTGGAGGAGACTTGGTACTGAGTTGTCTCTTTTCTTTCTCCACAGCTACGTAATCAAGGCCAAGTCAGAGGAACCAGTGCTGCCCATGATGAGTGATGGTGGATGAGCCGTTGTCACGTGCAGCGCTGATACACAGACGTGTGTGTGGATGCATGATTATTTGTATATAATTATATATACGCACATGCATACTGAAAGGGGTTGTGACAGTGTCTCCAGGGTACTATACCTGTCCTCAGCAAAGATTCAAAGGAAACTGCTTTCATTATGTATACCCGAAGCAAATAAAAATCAACTGAGTAGTGTCATTTAAAGGATGAATTAACTGCGGAATTATGCTAACTGGTATGTTTCATGAATGTCAATACTGGACCAATTTATTCCCTACTTGTTTTTTCTCCTGTCTTGAGTCACTCTGTTATAACTGGCCCATTTGTAAAAGGAACAGATTCAAATAAGTTAATTGCAGTTTTGTGTCTTCCCTATGTGATTATTTTTGGAATAGGAACAATGAATGTATTTATAGCTATTTATTTCTGGATTGTCATTAGCCTATAGTCAAATCAGAAAAAAAATTATATTAGTGGAAATTGGAAGACTTTTACTGTTGAAAAAGTTTAGCCCAAACTTTATACCCATTCACTGATTTAAAAGGAAAAAAATCATGTTTTATTGGACTTTTGTACATTGAATTGCTAATGTTTTTTCTTCATTAAAATTGGCAAGATTAAGGAAAAATGACTTGTGATTTATAAAGTAATTGCACTTCAAATTTTCCAGAAGCTGACTTTTTAGACAAAGATACTGGCAATACTTGTATAATATTTCAAGTATCTCTTAAGCTGTGCAGTAAAAGTCAGGGGGGATGATGGGCCTTCCCTAAAGCAAGACTTTTTAAATGGAATTGCTGTTTGCCAGAGTTTCACTTTGGAAGCTATGCAAATGGTCTTGATTTCACACACATTACGCAATGGAATATAATTGTGATTTTAGCTCTTTTCATGTTGAAAATACATTTTAAAAGAGATTTATACTTTCAGATATGATGAAAGTTTAAATTGTAGCATCTGACATCTCTCTGATTTTTGAAGTAGACACATAAAAGCAAAGATGGTTTAATAAAGACCTCCTGTAGATAGCTCTCAAATAGGGAAAACGTCTTCAGTATTTTTTAAGGAAACATTCAGAGCATATCATAGATATATAATTATCAAAGTGCTTGCTAGATCAGAAACGAATTACTGTAAAAACACTAGGTAGATAAAAGTTCTGTTAATGCCTGGTTTCCTCCCAGCATCCCCAGAAACCTTGATGGGGAAGCCTTGCTGGAGCTTCCATCTTCATCATCTCACTGACATCCAGGTATTTTGGAATCTCTGGCCTGCTTTGCTTGCAGCAGGAGATCCATCTGATTTCCATCTTGGGCAGGGAGAGAATGTTCCTGGGCTCCCAGGGGGCCAGGTCTGGCACACGCCTTGTCCTGCTGGTGGCCCGTCTGCCATGTGTGGGCACTGGCATCTCCAGTGTCACTGCACCCTCCTGCCCTCCCTGCTGCAAAACAAAGTTCTTTTTTCCTTTCTGGATTAGCAGTTCAATGGTTATTTGTCCTCTGTACCACCAGGAGGTTGGTTTTGTAAATAAACATCCAGACGTGCAGGCACACACACACCCGTGTATGATTTCAGAGGTGTGTGGAGCCAGGGGCTGCTGCAGTCCTGGGAACCCAAGGGCTCACTTCTCGGTGCTGGAAGACAAGTTCCACTGTCATCCCTGTGAGCCCTCACGCAGACTGAGGAAGGGACCCTACAGCCTCATGGACGAGCTGCAACAGTCTGAGAGAATCTTGTAGTGAATGTAAAATGTTTAGTTGACTTTGGCAGTCTCTGGTCTGACCTACAGTAAAACAGTCAATGAAATTTAATTAAATAAATTTGATCATAAAATGCTCTGTCTCTTGTTTTAGGTGTTAGTAGTTACAGTTTGCTAGTGAGCTGGTGTGTAGTTGTGTGGAGCTGTGCGAGGAGGCTGCGGGTGCCCTGAGATGCGCTGGGGTGTCGGCAGCGCCCGGGGGAGGGACGGGAAAGGCTGGCGGGGGTTTATGGTTTGTTGTGGGATTTTGAGGAGCAGCACACGCTGAGCTCGGGCCTCGGCACTGCCCGGAGCAGGGAGGAGGTGTCTGGAGGTGCCTGCCCGACCTGCCGGGCGGAGCCGGGAAGGGTCCGCGGCGGCTCCGGGTGCGGGGGCGGCGGCTGAACCCGCGCGGGTCCCGGGGCGGGTGCGGGGGCCACCGGGGCAGGAGCTGCCCGGGAGCCCGGCTCCTTCTGGCTGGAGCGACGAGCAGCCTTTAAGGTAAGGAAAGATCCTGCGAGTTAGGCTGGTGTCTGCACCGCTGCCTGGAGCTGTTGCAGCGAGGGCTTCGCTCCGGTATCTTTCCTCTTTTCTCAGCACGGGTCACGCAGCAGCTGCTGCCGACGGAGCAGCTGAGCGGGCCCCGGGGGCACCCGGGCTCTGCCCCGGCTGAGGAGGCAGCGGAGGGGCTGAGGGGTGCGAGCTCGGCCAGGGCAGCCGGAGCCAGAGCTGCTGCCATCCCCGCGTGGGGACGTGTGGGTGTGGGTTAGGGATGCTGGAGGGATTTCCAGGGATGCTGTAGTCCAGAGAGGTGCTGCAGAGACGTGGCCTTTCTGTGCCACAGCCTTGAGGCCTCGGCTGCTGCCGTCAGGGGCAGAGGGTGGTGGGTGGTGATGGGCTGTGCTGGTCACCCGGGGCTGTCTGGGGTGGAAGGCTCAGAGCAGCGAACGCCGCTGCCTTGGTGTGTTCCTCGACGCCCCCCAGAACAAGGCACAGCACCAACCCAGCAGTGTCCCCTGCTCTGTCCCCGTGTCCCCCCTGGCAGGGCCCACAGGCCCTTCCCTGGGCTGGGCCCTGGTTCCCTGCAGGTTCACTTGGTGCGGCCGATCCCCTGGGGCTGGGCAGGTTCCCACTTTTAGGTGCAGGGTCCTGCCTTCCAAGGGCGTGTAATTG